AAAGAACTTTTCAAGTACTTGTTTACAACATGTTTGTCTACACAATTGCTATGGTCTATTAGACATTCTAGATCGTATTGATTGATATTAAATAATGTGCATGTTAAGCGTCAACAGAGTTAGACCAAGGTAATCAACATTGGCCGTTGTCGCGACGTTTTTTTGTCTTTTTGGAGGTTGTAAACATTTTGTTTCTACGAGAACGTAAGATAAGTTTTTGTCTAGCAAAAATAATTTTTTTGCGATTGTAAGGTGTGACATTCCTTGCAAACGGTAACTGTCAACATGTATCGATTATTTCACGCCTTCATAAGTTTCAATATCTAAAGGTATATCATGCAAATAACTTATTGCATTCATACAATACTTTTGAAAGCTGATACGGTTGATCAGTCGTTTATTTTTCTTTTTTCTTTTTTATCTTCGGTTTATAGTGATAATACATTTTCATTATTTATATTATTATCAAATAAATTATGTGTATATACAAATGACAGGAACAAAAAACAAGGTCATTTCATACAAATTATTTATTATAGAAAATAAAATAATTAAAAAAAAAATTCTTTTTTTTTTTTTTAAATCAAATGTCAACAAAATATTAATAAATAATCATCTGAACTGATTAATTTTCTATTAAAAATATTCACATCTTATTATAAATAATTGACTTTCTTCACGTTTTATATATGATAATATACGATCAGTACATAGAATAACAGTTTCCATTGTAACAAATGGTGAAAATACTACATGTAATTCAAATCCTGGTGCTAACTAAAATAAATAACAAAGAAAATTTATTGAATTTTTTTTTTTTTGTTTTTTTTCTCTCTCTACAAACCCATCCAAGTAATGATTCATATTCAGTTTTAAAATAAATAATTTTTAATTGTTGATTAGGATGATGAAGACGTCCATAAATATAACGAATTAATTCAAATAATCTAATATGTTGTTCATTTGTTATATAAGGTTTTGATAATTTTGATGATATATATTGACTTAAACCACGTGATTTATATGCAAAATATCGTAAATCATCACAAGCTATTTCATCAGATAGAAGACGATTTTTTTCTAATGCAAGTTTTATTTGTGTAATTAAATTTATTTTTTTTAATTTCTAATATTAAATAATAAAGATTTCTTTTTTGTTTTTAAGATTTTAAATTCAAAATTCTTACTTCATTTATAATTTGTTTAAAATCAAAAAGTATTTGAAAATGTTCAGGATTTACTGTTAATAAAACTAGACATACATCACAACTATCATCTAAATATGATATATGTGCATGAAAACAACCTCTGAAAAAAAAAATATTATTCTAATTATTTTTGAAAATTTTAATATATTTGATTATACAAACCCTGAATCAAATCGTGGTAAACATACAGGTACCCATGATTCAACACCTTTAAATGCATCTGAACTATTAACAAGATTAATAAGTAAATAAAGATCCGATGGATGTAAATGATAATTTCTTAAACGTGCTATTGATACAAGATGACCATGAGCAAGTATCATAGCAAATATCATATCCTAAAAACAAAAACAAAAAAAAATATTTTTATTGTTTTAAAAATACGATAAATTTCTTTTTTTTTTTTTTAAATTTTTACTTGTTGTCCTCGTATTGTTTGTGCAACTATTTGTCCAATTTGATTTCGTATATTTGCTGGTAAAATTAAACATTTAACAGATGTCATAAGCATACCTAAATCATGTTCATACATATCAATAATATTATGTAATAATTTTTTTTCAGCATTTGAGAACCAACGACGTATATCAAAATTAGGTTGTACGAGAAATTTTTGTTTTATACGACTCAATGTTAATGTACTTATTATTTGATGATATACATATGTTAATTGTTGTAGAAGACATATTGAATGTTCATTCGTATGTGTTACTAATACAAATACAAATGGTTCTTTATGTAAAAATGCTATACGAGAACGACCAGCTTTTATATAATTTAATTGACTAGATTCTGTTATTTCAGTAAAAGAGACAAGTGTTTGCATAACACCCATTAATGTAACTAATTGATCATCATCACCATATCTAATAAATATAAATAAGAATTTTGAAATAATTTATCATTTAAACAATATACCTTGTAAAAACTGGTTTACCATTTTCACTCATAATAAATATATGTTTAACTCGACTTTTAAGTATATGTATATATGATTCATCGTCATCATTATCTTGATTAGAGTGTTCATCGATACTATTAGTTACAGTTGTTGGTGTTGATTCACTTTCATTTGTAATTATATCATCATCATCATCAATTGAATATGAATTTATTGTATCATCAGTATCTATCTAGATATGACTAATGAAAATAAACGATATAATCTCAAAAGAATTTTCAAATTATTCTTACAACATTTAAAGAATCTATTCTGGTTTGTTCCGATTGAGAATTTCGTCGAATCATTTTAATTAAACCTGATGATGGTTCTTGTTCATCATCAAATAATGCAGGTTCATCAGAATTTTGTTTTAAATTTTCATATGATGGTAAAGTTTCTAATTTTGATATTAATTCATCAGAATTATTCAGTCTACTTGGTATTAAAAGGTCTAACACAGACATCACTATGATCTAAAAACTAGAGAATTATTCTTTTTCTTTTTTTGTCTTTTGTAAATCTGACATCATTCGTGTAGTCTACATTTATTTACTTGTATAGAGATCTATTATATGCTGTGTCATAATTATAGATAATAACAGCAAATGAATGAATACGAAATAAAAGTCTTGATAAGAATGAAAAATACAAAAAAAAAACGAAAAAAAATTATGTTTGTCATAGTGACGGAGCCAGAGGGGCTCAGCCACTTCCTAACTCCGCCACTAGTTTGTCAAAGACATCTATTTGTACTGAGCCTTGAGTTCAATTTGTTAGATGTCGCTATTACAAAATAGTTCGAGAGTAAGAAAGAATCTATAGTTTAACAAGAATGATCTGATTAATTTATATTTATTTTTGAGAACTTATATTATGATATTTCTTCAGAAAAAAAACTTAAAATATGATGTATTTATTCTTTTTACGTTCTGTATAATTTATCTTCAATAACTGTCCTCAATAGATGCTACCTTATCAATTAGGTCACAATAGAAAATGATAAGATAAAACGAACTTGCTATTTAAAACATTGCATTTTAAATATTTCTTTTAAAAAGATTACTGAAATTGTTTTTTCATATCTTTCAACAGTATATAACAACGATTCAGTTCAATTATAAAAATATAAACCTTTATTCTGATGTTTCGGATAAATGCTCATTCTTGATTGATTTTTTTACATAATTCTATCATCTTCGATAGCTTATTTGTCTTAATATAGAATAATTCGCATAAGGCACTTATAATTAACAATAACTCAAAGCTGAGTACTTTATTTCTTAATCGATCAGACAAGATTCTTTTTGTCTTCAAGTACGAATAAAATTCTTACCTGATCTTCAAGACAACTGTCACGTAATGATATCTATAAATACGAGTATATATATATATATATGAATGTTATTTATGTATTTGTACCAGTCGATAGTTAATACGTCATTGCGTTCAATTGAACGAACAATAAAATACACATAGAGCCTCTTAGTGTATTTTACCATAAGCCAGGTCATTATTTAATAAGAATACAACATACGATACAAATACAATGTTGTAAACATTGCAATATTACAATTCGTTTTCATATCTTATCTCTATGTAAACTACCTATAATCGTAAATATCATTCCGAAAAAAAAATCTTATTCAGAAAACATATCAATTATAGATATTGAATAGAAAAAAGTATATCTATTGATTCATGAGAGAATTGAATTAAAATCAATGTCTGTTTTAAAAAATATAGTAGTCATGTATATTATAAACAGAACTGCAAAGCTGCAGTTCTGTTCGTTCTTGAGTTATTGCAAAAATACCCACGACCATTAGTTTTTTTAAACAAGCATTAGTTTTAGAACGTTTCTAAAAAAACAAACAAACAGTATTTTATCAAAACAGCAGATAAATAATAATCAGTTGTAGATGATGAATATGAATTATAATAAAACTAGAATTTTTTTTCTATTATCATTTTCTCTTTTGTATGTCATCTAAAATGTATAAAATAAAATCTATTTTTCTATTTTGTTACTAACTTGAAGTTGAAACAACAACAACGAAAAACAACATGTTTGTTGATCTACAGCAAAGGCTATATATTAGTCATAAGAAATTCAAGAGAAGAATCTTGCTTCATTACACTCAAGACAAGCATTACAACAATCGTATTTACATATGCTTCTTCTTATTTAAACATAAGAAATAATATTTTTTTTACTTGAAGGAAGAAAAAAGATTTACTATGCAGTATGTGTTAAAGAAATACTTATCATTGTATTTGTTATTGAATTTAAAAACGTAAAAGCTATATGCTTAAGAAATGCGGCTGAACTTAGGATTAACCTATCGTTACATGCAATCGTGTACGATAGTTGTTTATGTTTGAACGTATGATGTCATTTACAATCCGAGCATAATTTCTGTCAGTAATTCAAGATCTGTTTATTTTCTAATCTGTTACTAAAAATCTGAATGTCATTAATCTTTACGTTCAATTAATCTCACATCGTACTTCAAGTGCATGATTCATAACCTATACACAAAAGAACATTTTATGAAATAACACGCGAAAAAGAAAAAGATTGTTTGTTTTTTTTATCTTCAGAAAACACACACATAAGCTAAAAAAAAATTTTTTTTTTTTGCTCAACATTATTACAAAATATAAAAATACGCAAGCATAAAAGTATACTTTGTATGATACTTGACCTGTTAATTAGTAAAAATAACATAAATATCCTTGACAAGTTCTTTTTTTTTTCTTGCTCTTCTTTCATGTACATACGATTAATAAGAATGTTTGTTGGATATATAAAACATTTTAAAAATCTATTCATTCGTCGAAAAAAAAAAATGTATTCAAAACGACAACAATTACCTTTGACAATACCTAATTGGATGAAAAAAGATGCTAAAGCAAAAAAATTTACACCTGATCTGGGTTTATTGTCAACTGATACAAGACAAAATATTATGTTAAGTCGACAATATTTTTCTGATATGGTTAATTTAACCGGTGAACATCATCGTAAAATTGCTCAATGTGATTTTGAAAAAAATAAATTTATTAAAAATCAACGAACAAAAGCAGAAAAAATAATGCCTGGTCTTTTACCGTATGTAAAAAATAAAAAAAGTATTGATAATTTTATTTTTTAATTTCGAAATATATATCTATATAGATATATTGAACCATTAATAAATGATAAATCTCAAGATACATTATCAAAACATAGATTAAGTAAAAATGAACAATTCACAAGTTCATCATTTCAATCATTTACATCAAATTCAACTAAGAAATCTGAATTAACATTTTCACGAGAACAATCAAGTAAAAAAGATAAACTACCACAAATTATCTCACCGAAATATTCTAATCAACAACAAAAATCATCTGAACGTACATATCGTTTAAATCAATCAAAAAATAATCATCGAAATTCAACAAAACAAAATCATGTTCGTTCAAATACTCTTGCACCATTAACTGTTCATGATTTATTTGGTGATCTGGATATTGACGATGATTATGATAATGAATATAATTATGATTCTTTTTTATCTGAAAAATCTCAAAGTGCAACAAAAGATCGACGTTTTCAACGATTGATTCATGTATTTTCTGAAGTATATGAACGTGAACCAACAAATTTAAAAACAGTTAAAAGTATAATTCAATCGAATTCATCTTTACAAAATGTTGAAAAACAAAAACAACAAATTTCAAATTCAATTAAACTTGAAAATCATCAACAAATACTTTCTGATGAATCTTATAATAAAACAGATATGTATCAAACTGATGTAGCTGCATGATCTATATATATATAAATATTTATTTCATAATAAACTATGAAATATATGATAAAATAAAACTCTATTATTTAATAAATACGAATCTAGTTAAAAGAAATCAGAAGTAAAAACAAAAAACAATGTATATATACCATAAAAGAATTTACTATTATGTTGGAAAAATACATTCTCGTTTAGAATATCAGTGTAATATATAAAAGGCTAGACGATATTCTTATCTATTCACATGAAGGATAAATTAGTCAACATCGTAAATTTCGTATTTTGGGAAGGAAAAAGAGAAGTTAGTAAAATAGAATGACCCATCTTGTGGGATGTCAAAGGTTTCCCATTCCCTGAAGTTGTGACACGTCCCATCCTGATCCAATCTATTACTATATATTTATGTAACATGCTATTTCATACTATCGTTCATATGAAATATAATATTGACTCTATTTAAACACTTGCATTGTACATTAATTTTCATTGATTCACAATATTTTCATAGTGAAAATTTCAATTCTTTTCACATTCTAATTATTTGAATATTTGTTTTAGATTTATCGAAAAATAAATCTTTATCTCTTTCTTAAATAATTTTTCCTAAGAAAGAATTTCTAAAATGACAATAATTGAAGAAATTAAACGAATGCAAATTTGTCAGTTAGAATCAATACATTATCGAATTCATAATACAATATTACAACAAGATTTTAAATCATTGTATGCACGAGGTTTTGAAGATATAACAATCGATACAACAAATATAGAAGATATTAAAGATACTACATCGACAATATAGTTATGCAAGTTATATTATTGATTTATATAATACATAGTTGGAAAATCAAATCATCTATTATCATTTATTGTTTTCTAAAAAACAAAAAACACTAATATCAACCTTTTTTTTTATAGTTCAAATTAAAATATGTGATGAAATTTCTTTTTCTATACAAATGAATCCTATTTTTGTTTTATCTAATAGAAAGAAACAAATGATCTTAAGATCGATCATATGCATCGCAATATATATATATTTTTTTTCTTTAAGACAAAAAAAAACAAAAAGATACGTTAACATAAGACATAAAAAACAACAATAACAAACGCACTTAATCATTCCTGATGTTGATATATATATATATATTGCACGATTATTTTGTATATTTACCCCAAATATGTAACATGAATACACTTGCAATAAAAATTAAACTCATAACAAGTACAGGTACAGGACCAACTTTAAGACCCGGTGAATCTTCTGTATAAAAACGCCAAACACCAGCACTTGCACCACCACCAGTTCCTGGTCGACTACGTGCAGGTGCTGTTGATTTTCGTTGACGAACACCACCACCACCACCACCACCTGTTGTTCGTGGTCCTGATGTTTTACCTGAATCGCCTTTACCAACCTAAAAAGAAATAAACTTAATTAACAAAAATTTTTTCTAAACAAAATACATACACTTGTTCCACTAGGTGAAGCGGGCATGATTATTAGTTAAAAGAAATAAAATAAATGATTTGAAAAATTGCTAATACACAGATTAAATAAATGGGAGAGCGTTAGGGAAAATATGGATATGAGAATACGTACACGTATGTGTTTCGATTGAAAACCAATCGGATAAATAAATGAAGTATGCGTGTCATATAGAAAAAAAAAGAGGTCACTCAAAAAAAATCGCATGTCGCTAGTTATTTTTTTTTTTGTTTTGGAAATTAATGATAGATGGTGTTAGTATACATATTCTCCTGTTTCATGAGAATAATAATATATAATATTTGATATATTGTTTTTATTAATGTGATTGAAATGATGGATTATTAATTAATGAAATATTCTTTAATTAAGAATAATGATTGAAGAACTGAAGGTCTGCAATCACACTAAAGAAAAACTCGAATTCGAACGCCAAGTCAGAATTTCGGATTCAGTATATGTTTATTACAGAAAAATGTATTTAATTTTCTACAAAATCATCTAGAAACTGTTGATTTAATCTTTTTATTTTCAGAGAAGATCAAGTAATGCTTTCCTGTTTGAATATCTACTAATTTCTAGTAAACTCTCTCGCACAATAGAAGCTCCCGTGGGTTTCTAAACTATCCACTGTTCAAAGTTTTTGGAGGAGGTTTACAAAAAACAAGTGATTCAGTTATTTTTTCTCACTGACAATGGAAGTGTTTGTGTTGATAAATAGAAAGATGAGACATATTTGGGTCAAATAAAAGCTCGCACTATCAAACTAACAAGATTAAAATATTAGTGACTGTTGGCTTGGTTAGAAGGAGATATTCAATTTTTATGGTACTCACAATTTGAATATATAGGAATATTAGAATTATTTGTATTGATTTTTTATGTAATCAACTAAGTAATTCAATAGTAGACTACAAGAATCTTTTTGAAATTTATCAATAGTATTAAGATCACATTAGTTTCGATAAGTAGTATCGTATTCAGTTCAATAAACTCATCTTAATAATGTGATCTTAATACTATTGATAAATTTCAAAAAGATTCTTGTAGCCTACTATTGAATTACTTAGTTAATTACATAAAAAATCAATACAAATAATTCTAATATTCCTATATACTCAAATTGTGAGTACCGTAAAAATCGAATATCGTCCTCTAACTAAGTCAACAGTCGCTAATATTTTAATCTTGTTAGTTTGACAGTGCGCGCTTTTATTTGACCCAAATATGTCTCATCTTTCTATTTATTGCCACAAACACGTCCATTGTAAGAAAAATCTATCGAATTGTGATTACATTACATTCAGCTTCGAGAAATTAATTCCAATGTATCATAATGCTTACTGAAAATTATCATGAGAAAAAACTCTCTTCATCATATGAAAAATCTTTCTTTATCATGTTTTATATTCGCTCAATAATAGCATAACCATTGAAACTTTCTAAAGAAAACGTTTTCTGGAAACCACCATATGTTGAGAGAAGAGACTACAATTCGATATTCTCTGCACAGCAATAGTACATGAGATTTAATTCAATATCTAATAAATCAAACAAATGTAGAAGTTTTTAATGAAAATTTTCGATCTTTTAACAATCATTTTTAACCAAATATCAAGACTATAAATATTACAAACAAAAAAAAAGAGAAAAATATTATTATAAACATGTACATCAAAATCGATATTATCATATGATCCAATTCGAGTGATTGTAACATCTATGATCTTGGTATTTGGTTGAAAATTTTCATATTAATAAAATTTTTCATTCAGATCTACATTTGTTTCATTTACCCTACACAGCAGGAAATTAAATAAACGATTTCTATATGATTTTGTAGACAATTGAACAAAGAGTCTTGTGAAATTCACGAGTGGACACTCGTGAACGAGCTGCTCCGGTTGTCAATATATAGGAGATTACTAGAGTAGTATAAACTTCAAAAACTTTCTCTTCATGCTTGGATTTGATCGATCCTGAAGAAGTTCAATTTCCGCAAAAAAAAAATTTTACTTGGGAATTTCGAATTGCAATTTAGTACACATGAAAGTCTTGAATTCGACGATCTCATAGGCAAAGTCTCAGGTCGAAAATTGAACTCCTACAGGATCGACTAAATCTAAGTAAGAGCAGAAAATCTTTTTGTGATATCCTACATATTAGCAAAATATAGAAGGAAATGAAGTAGCTCACTTGCGAATATTCTCTTGTCAATGCATATTTCTACAACAGAACATGTGAGAGACATCATTCGATTGGAAAGATTATATAACATTTTGACAACTTTTCCTGTGTGAAAAAGAAAATTTTTTTCATTCATGTCAGCTTATATTTATTGAAAAGAAAAAGACGACAAATATATAAATTCATGTATACAATAAAATTAATGACTATTGCATAGCAGGTGTTGGTAATTTAGCATCTAATTGTACACCTGATCCAGAATATCCTTGAAGGAAAAAAGAAAAGCAAAATGAATTTTATATTTATTTTTCTCGAACTATTTCTTACCAGTACCACCACGTTGCATTGGAATAATATCATCATCAGTTAATTTATCACCTGTTATAGGATCAATCATATCTAATTTAATTAATCGATTAATACAATCCATTGTAACAACATAACCTGATGTTCGTAAAACAGCACAAGGTACAGAATTACCAAGTAAATCACCAGTAACAGCACAAACATAACGATCACGTACGGCTACTAATGGTCGTTTTTTTGGATCAACATTATTAGCTAATTTAAATTTAACATCAAGTAAATCTTTCATTGTTATTGGTTTGCCTGATATAGGACAATAAACATGTTGATCAGGTTTTTTTAATTCAGCTTTTTTTGCAGCTGGTGTTAATGATGGAATCCAAAAACTAGGTAATTGTGTTGCTTGATTTCCTGCCATATTACTTAAATTTGATGAGGATGATGATGTTGTTGTTGCTGGTGTTTCATCATGATTATCATCATTTGTTGATATACGTGTTGATTTTGGTGTTGGAGGAATTGATGATAATAATAATGATTTTGGTGTTGTAAGAAATGATGATAATGTTTGATCTTGATGTTTAGATGAGAGAAGAGTTTTAACTGATTGATTAACAGAATATGTTGCTTCTTTTTCTAAAAATTTATTTAATTTTTTTTGTTCATCATTAGCATTTTGTTCGTCAATTTCTTGTTGTTTACGTTCAAGTTGTTTTTGATATTCACGCATTTTACGAGCATTAAGCTTTTTTTGATGAACAATATATTCTAAATTACAAAAAAAACAAACCCCAAATTCAATGATATATTAATAAGAATAAAATAAATGTCAAATTTTGTTTTTGTTTTTTATTTCGTAACATTTAAAATATCTTATTTTCTATTTCGATTTATGAAATATTCCAGATCAATTATTCCGAGAAAGCAAAACTTGATCGAACGAAAATGATCGCTGACAATTGTTTGATACGTAAATTAGTCGAAAAATTTATGGCGAATTTTTGAACAAAGTCTTTAATTGAATGCAAAATAATAAAAAAATATTCACTTAAAAATGATGAGTAGTTTTTTCTAATTTTAATAATTGCAACATATAAAAACGTCTATTACTTTCCAAGACATTGTTACATAGAAGAGGCAGAAATAAATTCATGTTTGTAGAAATGTCTCAAAAAAGTTCACTCATTAATATTTTAATCATCTATTTCAAACAAATTTTTGTACTTAATAATGAATTTTTGGCTAAATTGTTCCTTTTTACATCAGAGGTTAACTTTGACTGCATAATCAATTGATCTAGATATATATTATAATTAAAATACTTTTATTTTTGATTCAAATTTTCTTTCAGAATAAATTTTGAGATCATTTCATGAAAATCTATGAATCGAATAATTTTAATTTAGAAAGAGAAAAAAAGTTCTATTTCATATAGTGCATGTGCTTCTTGGTAACGATTTTTAATTGACTAATATCGTCTTATGCCTTTCTTCTGTTGTGTTTCTATAAATTTCTCGACTACTATTCATATGGATCAAGTTTTCATGCACCGAATAGTTCCAGTGCTCAGATTCGTAGGTTTACAGCTGGAGAAATCCGACTATTAGGTTCTTATCATTTTTCGCTCATACTTTATTCATCTGAGATAACAAAATTCTTTTTATTATAGACATTACAACAATTATAATGTCACAGAAATTTATCTAAGTTCTTATTTCAAATTAAAATGTTTATTAAATTTTGTATATCTTCATCCAGGCAATGAATAATCTTAGCATTTCTTACAAATAATCTTAATATTCAATTAGATAATTTGTGTTTTTTCTCACCAAGTATAGCTTGTTTATCAAATAAATATCCATCTTTGGTAACAACTGGATCTATACATGGTTGTAATGTTAAATTACAACAATCAAATTCTTTAATAGCATCTTTACTAAGACGCATTTGTGTTGTACCATAACCACCAGTTGATGAATCTTTTTGTTTTTCATGATATGTATAAACAGCATTAGCTGTTGAATTTCTTGAATGACGTGTCATCTGAAAACTAAATTAAATCAAATATACATATATATATATATATATACAAATAAATGCTAATCTTTATTTTTGTTCTAATGAAAAAGGATTTGATGAAAGTACAGTATTTACAAATGATGGTGGTTGATGAATAGTTTTTATTATGTTTGTTTCATTTATTCGTTGTTTTGGTTGATTTGATGGTAATTGTAATAATGTATTAAGTATACTTGTTGTTGATGTTGATGATATTATTTGTTTATTTTGTTTTTTATTCGTTGATTTAATAGGACGTTTTTCTTTATCAGGTGCCCATTCTATATCATCAATTGATGGTAAATTTTTTGTTCGATGGCGTCCTCGTTTTGTTGTATTAGTTAAATTTAATGAATCAGGTGTTGATATTATTGAACGATCATTTGTTAAAGTTGAACCTTTACGTTTTCGTGTTGATGTTGATGATGAAAGAATAGTATTTAAAAAAATTGAATTTG